TGATATCGAAAATTTATTTCAAAAAGTTTTGGCTCGAGACCATATAATGAAAAAGAAAAAATTTGTTCGACATTTTCATGATAAAATTTATGAAGATATAAAATGGCTTTGTGGATGCATAAAAATGCAAAATTTGTTTTGTTGGCCTTGCCTACTATTTTCAAATAAAATTAGTGTGTAGAATGAGATTGGCTTTGACGATTTAAATAATTTGAGTAAAGCTGGCAAAAGACACAAAAATCCTAAATCTCGCATCGAATCTTTCGTAAAATTGAAGCAATTTGGAAATCAAAATAGAATAGAATTTAACATTACTACACAATATAAAATAAATATTGAAAATTATAACGAGATAGTTACGGCTGATAGATATATTATATTTTAATAATTAGATGTTATCAAAGCAAGAATTGGCATTTTGAGGGCGTAGGGAATCTATTAAATCTAATATAAGAGAGTTAATTATATTGAACTCACTTATTTATATTAAGTGCGTTAGATAATCTATTAATTAAAAATACATTTAGAGAAGTCTACGGTTTTTACTGGCTTATCGAACAAATGAATACGAATGGACCCTAGACCATCACCGACTGATTGCCCCTGGAAGTCGGCTTGTTACAAAAACACAGTTTCCCTATCATCAAATGTCACGGCACGCCCCTGCTCTTGCTTGGTTTCTAAGGTGAGCATAGTTCTTGACACTCCACTCTTTTTAGGCTCCATAATATTATCAGTTTCTTTTTTAAATATAAAGTTCAAAAAAGCACTTACAAAAATTCAGAGAACAGAAATCAACTAGCACACAAAAAATTATCTAAATGCAAGAACCAGATGAAATTTGGTATTAAAACATTAATGAATATCCAATGGGACAGTTAAACTCTCACCTTTCATAAATAAAAACTGACACAAAACTTAACGAGTACATGTCCAACAGTCTCGCAAAGACTATAAAAAATTATTTGTCAGAAAGATAAACAAAAAGCTGGAATTATAAGAGAACGTTTCAAAATTCAGAGGAATACTATCCAATCGGTATCGGGTTGAGCATCAATGTTGACATCTTTAGAGCTTCAAAAGGTTAGAATTGTCACCTGGACACAAGGGAAAACCAATCGGTATTCACTATTTTATGTCACTTCTTTTTCTGTCTGTTCTGTGAAGTGTTCATTATCTAAACATGTGTTTGTTGTCCATCCAAACATAAAAATCTTTCACGAAAGTGTTCATTATTCGATTTGTTTGCTGTCCGAACTTTTCGTTAACCCACTGTGTATGGAAAATCATAATTTTAGAATAAATGAGAACAAAACAAAATATATCTGTTCGGTAAACAGAAATTTAGATGAAATACAAGTAAGAATTAACAATAAATGTAGTCAAAGAGTTAAATAAGAGTTAAAAAAGAGTCAAAGAGTTCTGTAAAATATTTAAGAATTGAAATTGATGATCTACGATGGAACAATCAAATAAATAGTCTAACACTGTCTATATCTAGGTTTATTGGAATACTTAAAAGAACAATGAGATATATAAATTTTGAGACTGCTTTGCACTTATATCATGTTTGTGTGGAACCTAAATTAAGATGTGGTATTTCTGTATGAGGAACAACTTACTTTGTTTTGAATAGGTTGTAAGTTATACAAAATAACTTTATTAGAATATTATACAAGTTACCTTAAAATTCTTCCGTCACCTCTTATTATAACTATGCCAATATTGACAAAGTACAAGTTTTATATAAAAAACAAGTTCTTCTAGATAGCTTTAAATTAATAAAGGTTTGCAAGAAAGAATCTTTTTTAAATAATTTGCTAAAAAAAATACTTTAGGCCTTCTAATTACAATGGAAAAATAATTTGCTTCTACCAAAAGTTAAGCACTGCATTGGCCGAAACATACCAATCTACCAATTTGTATATAATTGGAATGCTTTAAAAGAAGATTATAAAGATTTGAGAATTGAGAACTTACAGGCAATTTAAACAAGTTGTTAAAAAATTGAATTGTGTTAGTTTTGTGTTACTGTTTTAATTTATTCTTCTTCTTAGTTGCTTGTTTGTGTTTTATGTATGTATTTATCTTCACACTTGGAAAAGGCCAATGGCCATAATGTCATTTAACATTAAAGATTAAAACAAAAATTTGACAGAGAGCCTACCATTGTCCATACAATGTGCATTCTACTTATGACCCTCAATTCACTCTCTGCACCAACTAAATAAGTTTAAAATAAATTTAACAAAAAGTTTAAAAATTATTTTGCCTATTTGATTTTTTTCATGTCTGTCTCTTTTTGCCCCATGGGTACTAAGAGGACTTTTTTCCTCTGGCTCTGTGATTGGTTCAGCCAGGTAAAGAGGGATGGGTTCAACGAATCCTACACTTGTCTCTACAAAAAATTTCCAAGATCACTCTCCCAGATTCGATTCTGGCTCCTCCGGAACAATAGGCCAGCCTGCCATCCTTAATAATGTGTTGTAAATCCATAAAAAGCTACCAGAAGACAAAATAAAAAGATGTTACTAAATCCACTTGTTTACTGTATTTCGCAATTAAATTTTTAAGTGTTTTCATTTGATAATTTTTTTTAATGTTCTTTGGACTCTCATCCCTTTTTACTCTTTATCACAAAGTTTTCGATAGGACTAAATAGCATTTTACATAAGTATAATGTTCATTTGTGTAAATGCCACTGGATTGTCATTCAAAATCACCAGAAGCAGAACTTCATGAATTTTTAAAAATTTGCAGAAAGTCCATTTGCATGGCATCAAGAGATGATAAGTAGACAAATGGTGAACAGCTAGACGAAAGGCTGATAGGCTTTTTTTCCAATTCTTTGTCGTCGAAATTAACATTGTTGCCATTAGTTTAAAGCTATAAAAAATGCTGCACTATAAAGTTTTTAATCACTAAATATGTGCTTATGTGTAAGTACAAACTTTCCTACATTTTCTAAAAAAATATTCAACTCTATATTAAAATAAATAGATGATATCAGTTTATGCATTTTTATGCAGAACTTTAAAAATAAATTTCAAGTTCTCTTATACATATTATGCTTGCAGTAATGACTTTAGCAAATTATTGCACATTAACTGATCCCTGTGCATATTATAATCACACTACAGTAAATAAACACTAAGCAAAGTATATGAATCTAATCTTTTATAGATATCAATAAGAAATCCATTCTATGCTAGAAACTTTTATATTTTGTGTGATTGTTTGATTACAGTTGCAATTCAATCCAAAAATTGAGGCCAAGTTTCAATTTTTACTCGTTAAGATATGATTGAAAATATTTTCAGAAGTTAAAATTGTTTAAACTGGTTCCAACAAATGGTAGTATTTATTCACTTTCAAACTGTACAAAAATACTACGACGCACGACATAACTTACGGTTTTATCGAGACAAGTCTCTAAAATGTCCATCCGAATGGCAGTTCACTGGGCCTTGCGGGGTTTCGTCTTGCGCCTTCCGCCTGCCGGTTCTGCAGCGGTTCCCTCGCCAGAGGCCACTGTCCTGGCGGGATTTATTAACGTCTGAAATATCTGTCCCACCACTGGCAAGATTTTGTTGTAATTGTAAAGAAGCGAGATGACCACGAGAGTCAGGGGAAGGGCCAGCAGGGAACCCTGTGTCATTTCCTGCTCTGCAGCCTGGGGTAGAGGTCTGAAGTGGAGGGTGAAGTGACGGTAGGATTGGTTGGCCGGAAAGACGACCGAGGTGGAGTCGGGCTGTGCCGAGGCACCGGGCAGTGAAGTGTCCAGTCTCAGCATGTACGTCCTATTGTCCAACGGCAGGGGAGGAAGCTGAAAGAAGCTGTTCTGTCCCAACGTGATGGTGTGTACTGCCTGGTCTAGAGCATCTCCTCCAAACAAACGAACCTAATTATAATGAAATGAAATATTCTGTCCGATCAATTTGGAAAGAAAAGTCTGTTTGTAGTTTAACAATACAAGTACCTGTTTTTTTACAGGCACTTGTATTGTAAAAAATTCAAACTGCTAACCTTCGAAAATATTTGGACAATTTCCCAAAGGTCGACATTTGAATCCATTTTGGCAAACTTCTGTTAAGATTACTGATAATTGAAAAATTTATTGGGTTGTTCGGAAAGTAAGTTCGTTTTTTTCCACGGAAAAAAACGCAATATTCTTATGATAAATAAATATTTTATTGAATTATATGTTGACCATTTTGGTCAAATACCTGTTGTCATCGTTTCTGGTAGTAGCACGATTTTACATTCATAAAAGTTTTGATTGTTGCTTACAAAAAACCGATCCAAGTGATTTTTGACATTGTCATTTCAAGTAAATGTCTTACAGTTAAAAAAAACTGTACAGACCGGAACAAGTAATAATCTGAGTGTGCTCGATCTGGCGAATATGGTTGGAGTGATAGCATATCCCATCTAAGTTATAACAGTTTCTGATGAGTTAGCAAACTTGTGTGAAATTTGACATTATTGTAGTAAAACACTACAGCTGTTTTTTTTATCAATTCTGACTGGCTTTTTCTGTTTGATGATATTACACAATTTGTTTACTCGAATGCAGTACACTTTCGAATCAATTGTTAAATTGTCTGGTAAAAGCTCCAAAAAAAATTTCCTTAATATCCCACCAAATAGAGCATTTCTCTTTAAGAACTCGTGGAATTCATATATCGAGCTTTGAAACGAAACCAATTTGTTTCAAGTACNACCTAACTAACATGGAGGTATAGTTCTGTACATAAACAAATATCTGATTTACGAGGTTGTACCTGACTTGACATTTACTAAAGAGTACTGTACATAGATTTCATGGCAATATCTGTCAACTTCATCTCCACTGTGGCTATTTACCGTTTTCTGGCTTCAAACTAGTTTATTTTTTATCTAGTAAATTTTATAATTCATTTTTATTGATTTTTCCGTCCAATGGCAGGATTATCATCAACCAAATCAAAGACAAGTCTGCCCAAGAGGGACCACCATTTGTGTTCCAGACTATACACATACACATTCATGGCGACAGGCCTTCCTTTTTAGGCTTCATGCTGCCAGAAGTAAAAAAGCCCTTTAAAAAAAACACAAACAGGAATCAATGACACGCAGACATATTACTTTCCATCCATCTGGCCAATGGGGTAGTTCTGCTTTATATCTTTTAGAACAGGTGCTAAAAAATGTAGATTTTGAAGCTGCCCCCTGGCGACGGTACATTTAAAATTTCTTTGTTGATTTTTCTGTCTGATGCGTGCCACCGATTCCTTTTTGTGTTTTTTTAAATGAATTTTTTACCTCTGGCACCATGAAGCCTAAAAAGGAAGGCATGTTGCCATGAATGTGTATGTGTGTAGTCAGGAATGCAAAATAAATGGTGGTCCCTCTTAGGCAGACTTGTCTTCAATTTGATTAATAATATTGAAATGAATTATAAATCTAAGGAACTATAAATTTTTTATCATCAACAATTTTAATACGGATCTACTTAGTATCAGTATTAAAATTGTAGTACTTTGTACTTAGTAAAGATTCTTCTTATTGAAGAATCTTTACTAATTGTTAAACTTTTGCTTTTCTGAAAATTTATCACTCTTGGTTGATCGGAAGCAACCGACCAGATTTGATAAAGATACTCACTCCTCGATTGATTTTGAGTTAACCAATGTTGAGTCGGAATTTTTCATCCACCAAGATTTATTGTCGGATCGTACGCCTATAGTTTTCTTTCTCCCGAGGAAAGATACAGAAAATGGGTAGTAATTTGTTAAAAAGTCAGGAAAATAAATATGACTTCAATAAAACTGTTATGCAATGCTTTATCATCTTGTTTCACTTGAGATTACTTTTATTCCTCAGATCTTTCTATTGATCAATTGGCAGTTTATTTTCAGGATATCTTGCAGATTTTTATTAATAAATATCTTTCCATTACAACATTAAATAAGAAAAATAAGATAAAACGAAAGGCATTTTTGGCAAAAACCATCTTGAGCGATACAATAAAGTTAATTAGTCAGAAGTTCTTTAAACAATTAAACAAGTTTTATATCGGGAGATCAGCGTGCAAGAATACTAACAGAAGAGAGAGGGCTGACCAGGGATATTAGAAATAAAATTAGGAAAGAAGAAGATTACTACGACACACAGTTCTTTAATATACATTCTTCGATAGGGTTTTGGCAAAAGATTAAACATCTGCCTATCGATATAGTTAGAACAATATACAAATTATTCAGTTTAAGTATAATGGAAAACTTTTTCAAAATGAAGAAAAAATAAATAAGATTTTTGCTGATTACTACAGATAGATAGGAGTTTTGCCACATCAATGTTAAAAACAAATTCTTTCTCACATTCCTCTTCATGCAGTATGGTAATTCTTTCATATTGGAACTTCTCCTAAACAGATTTTTGATTATATTATGTGCAAAAGCTAATACTCTAGACATTGATTAGTTAAATATATTTATTTTAAGATAAATAGCAGACATTATTGCATCACCATTATCTTATTTAATTAATAAATTCTTTGAATGTGAGATGTTTCTGGAGAAGCTTAAACACAATCTTACAATACCAATATTTATAAACAGAGGATCTAATTGGGATATGGATAGCTATTGTCCGATTACTATCATTCAAAGAATAACTAAAATAATTGAAATGGCCTTTTATAAAAGATTTTTTGGATTTGAAAATAAATATATCTGATAACCAGTATACTGTAGCTTAAAAAGAGAGGCTTCTACAATTGATGCTCTAACTCATTGAGACTGTCAATATATTATTGACGGTTATCGATTTAACTGAGGCTTTTCATAGAGTAGATATCAAGATATTAAAACAAAAATCGTTTAAAGTCGGATTAAGTGGAATGCCATAGGAGTGGCTAATCTCCTATTTATCAAATTCTATGTACTATGTTAAGGTAAATAATTCAATATATAAACCTTTTCAAGCAAACAAAGATGTCCCACAGGAATCTACTCTGCTTTTTAAAATATTTAAATAAATGATATTATAGAAACCTTTCCCAAAAGTAATATATTGTATGCAGATGATATTGTTATAACCTATGCAGATTGGAATCCTCAAATAATTGAAAATAATTTATCTAACAATAAATTTATATTAAGTAAATACAGTGATGACAAGGTTAACGAACATAATCTGTTCCAAGACTGTTCACTATCTGAATCGTTTTGGAAGCTCCAAAAAATAAAAAATATATACTTTCTTACTACGTTTATTTATATGTAATAACTAGCTGTTACCCACGACTTCACCCGTGCAGATTTTGCAAGCAAAGCACATTTATATTCAGTATTTCAACAACCATAGTAATTGTTATATAACCCCTACCACTGGGAATGATGAGAATTGTTGACAATCAAACAAACTGTTTTCAATTTGATCAATTTTCTGGAACGTTTACAATCGTTCTATAATTGAACCAATATGCAATAACAAATTCGAATTTGAAACGATTCGAACAGTTAAAAAATTGAAATATATAAAAATATTTATAACAATNCGTTCTATAATTGAACCAATATGCAATAACAAATTCGAATTTGAAACGATTCGAACAGTTAAAAAATTGAAATATATAAAAATATTTATAACAATGTCTGAAATGTTATCAATTTAATACACCTAAGTACTCAATGAAAACTAAATGTAGTTGAAAACAAAAATCGCATCTAAAATAGTACAGTAGAAGTCATTCTTCAGGTTAATTAATTAAGCCTTAATCCTTTCCTCTTCCCCCTGGGGGAATTTCAAAAAAATCCCTTCTTAATGTGCATTTTCATGATGTACCCTAACTGTGAACAAAATTTCACCTCTAGGTTCAGCGGTTTGCTCTGAGCAATGATGAATCGGTCACTCAGTCAGGACAAATAATTTTATATATTTAGAAGATAAAAATACATATATACACAGTCTTGCATTTTTATTGGTCATGTTTTTTCTGTCTGTGGAGATTAAAGAATCTGTCCAATGTCAATTGCTTTTCTCTCTTCAGGATTTTTCGGAAGTAATTAACAGCATTGTAATTGTAGAGATCCCCAAGCCTATTAACCTCATTCTTGTTCGGATGCCATTTGGATGACTGTTGTTCTGACATCCTCCCACTTGTATTTTATAAAAAAATAAATACATATTAATTTTAATTATATGAAAATAATCGCACAATATTTTATTATAACCACATCATGTATCTTATTACAAATTTCTATACTACATGTAAAAAAATAAGATTGCTATTGCATATTCGAATATTAGTGGCGGAGTGGAATCTCTGTATTGTCAGGTTCCAAAACGCCAGATTTGCGCATGCGCTTTACAGAGCACCAACCTCACCCAGTTTAGCTGGTGGAAGCCTACGACCTTGGATTGAAGCTACACATATAACGCTTCCAATTCTATCCGGGACCGGTTCTGGGCTTTTAGCCACCCGCCCGCTAAATATTTGGCCGATTACGTGAATAACAAGTAGATTTATAACTTAACCCAACCGATAAGAATTTACTGGTATGTTTTTACGATAGTTCCATATAGTTGATGGGAGTTTAAAAAATCCATTAAAATATTTGATATATTTATTCTGCTCTCCGATTTTATATTACTCATGGATTTCGATGTTAAACCAGTGGTATTACGATTTTGTATGTCCCATCTTTAAGGGGATGTAGAAAAAAACGTGTACAATTCTTGTATAATGTTAAAAAATTAACCGTTACTTCGACAGCGTCATTTACAACTAAATTTAATGAACGAGAGAGATGCATGTGGTACAGAAAAGGCTCTAGAATTTATTTTCCTTAAATTTACGATTTA